CCAGTCACACGTGTACTTCCCCAAAAAGAGAAATGGAACGCGTATTACATCGAAAGACAGGTTGCGGTTTGGTAGTCTTGTGCTACTGCTACCTTACGTACAGATAGACTGCTTTTGACTCGGATAGATTGAAAGTAGTTTGAGTTTCGTTTATTGCTCTATAGAAAAGTTTGCCCCTCCCCCCCCCCCCTTCCACGGCTCTTGGAAGTTTCGTGGTTTTTGTTTGCAGCTCTTAGGTTGGCTCAGCTTGGTTGCCCCTGCTATAGAAGATGAAACAGTGACACAAACAGCAATGTACAAGCTTGGAGACAAATACTTCTAAAGACTATGAATCCGCATTTAATGCAAGCCAGAACTTCACCATTCTGGCAAGAATTAGACTAAAAGAGATAAAAGGGCTTGCATTCACGTTCAAGAAAATTATGCGTTTAGCACTGGATAAAGCAATGTTTGGTTTTGCAGACCAGATTTTATCATTTTAAAATAATAATGAAGTGGCAGTGGGTATGCCACTGCCATTTGATATGCTATTCAGTATCATATATGTGTGTGTTAAATGAAAGAACCGACCGCATAAAAATTCCCACTGCCTGCTGTATTGCTTCTGACTGTCATGGCCCATCACACCTGTGTTATCTTGAAAGCCCTTACTCAGCCTTAGAATGAACTTGTTGTGGCAGCTGTCAAATGGGTGTGTCAAATATAAGATGAATGAGGGAAAAAAACAAAACACAAGTCTTTTTTCTATTTTTTTCTTCTCCATTCATCACCTAGTATGATGTCTGGCAGTCATTCAGAGAAGATCTGCAATGCATGTGTGGTGCTTTTGTCTGCAAACCCAATTCTTCTAAATATTTATTTATTGCATACTGCCAACCAAATGAATGGCTCAGGCAGAGAAGGCAAAAAGGGCAAGTACAGCAATTTCATATAAATTCATAGAAAAAGCACATTCAATGAGACCATCAATCAGAATAATAAACTCTACAGGCAACAAATGATTTTGATGCACCTTAACAACTGAGCATGACAAAGTTTAGTAGACAAAGTGCTATTCCAAGGTGATGTTTACCAGCCAAGATTGACAGCAGATCTTGTGGAGTCTGCTGGAGAGGAAATGTGAATCATCTCCAGAAACAGAGGCGGCATTGTGGGGTGTGTGTGTGGCAGCATTCTATAGGTTTACAAATGTCCCGCAATATCTACCAAATCAACAAAGGGAGCTTATGAACCCATCAAGTTCCCTTAAAGGCCCTTGTTGAGGGCATTACATAAGGGGGGGTGTGTACATGACACGAGAGCATAAAACAGTAACAACAACATATGCGAATACATGGGGTGCTGCAAAACAACGTGGCCATCGCCACAAGCACGGGGTAATGGCAATACACAAATTAGTCTGGGTACATGGGTAACATAATAAAAGGATGAAAACATTACGATACATGGCAACCAGTAAGCACAAGACGAACAAATAGAATGGCACAGCGGGGATCAGCAGAAATGAGAACAAAGAGTGTTGCGAAATGCGGTGGGATCCGTCTGAGTTATATAAGTGAGGGGAGGTCTTTCCAGTCTACAATGGTACAGAGGAAGGAGGAGTTAAAACAGGTCGTGCTGCCTGAGATGCGGGAAACGTGACACGGGTGATTTAGCCGCGATGAAGATCGTCTGGATTGTAGGAAGAGAGGGTCTCGGAGCGTAGGGAGGTAGTAGTAAATTTTGTGAAAGAGACAGAGCCACACTATCTTACGACGGACGTTTAGTAAAGGAAGGTTCAGTTCGTCTTTAGGGCGGATACCCTTATTGACCAATCGTATTTCTTCAAAATAAACCTGGCAGCGCGGTTCTAAACCACCTCGAGATGATTTAATAAGTATATTTGGTGAGGGTTCCAAATGGCTGCAGCATACTCTAATTTGGGTCGAATGTATGTCTCGTAAGCCATTTTTTGCACGGATGGGGAAACCGATTTTAGGTTTCGTCTTATGTAACCGAGGCAGCGAGACGCCTCAGTGCATATAAGCTCGATGTGAGCGTTCCAGGTGAGATCACACCAAGGTATTTATAGGACGGGACGTCTTCGACTAAGTTATTTTCTAATTTGTACGAGAACTGAGACCCTTGCCGTTTTCGTGAAAACTGGACCAACTTGCATTTTGATTTGTTTAGTGTAATTAACCACCTGGTGCACCATGCCTGGATTTCGTCGAGGTTACTTTGAAGTAGAAGATGGTCCTCAAAACAAACTATCCTTCGATATAGAACACAGTCGTCAGCGAAGAGGCGGATGTTAGAGGAAATTCTGCCTGGAAGGTCATTATTAAATCATTCTTAAAGATAAGAAAAAGTAGGGGACCAAGAACCAACCCCTGGGGAACTCCTGAGGTAACCTTAGTGCAGGTGGATGAGGAACTATTAATTGTGTGACTTGAGAGCGAGAGGAGAGGAAATCCCGGACCCAGGACGGAATGAGAGGCTCGATTCAGAGGCATGGAAGTTTGGCAAGCAGGCGACAGTGGGCAACACAGTCGAAAGCCTTTGAAAAGTCCAAAAATAGGGCATCAGTTTGGTCGTTGGATTCAAAATTAGTGCATAACTCGTGGATGAATTCTACGAGCTGCGTCTCACAAGACAGTCCCTTATAAAAGCCGTGTTGCTTGTTGTAAAAGAAGTTATTTCTCTCAAGATGAGATACAACGTTTGAGTAGATAATATGCTCTAGAAGTTTTGAGGCTAGCATGTTAGAGATATTGGGTGGTAATTCGAAGCTGAAGAGCGATCCCCATTTTTTAAAGACCGAACGACCTTACCCAGTTTCCAGTCGCATTGTAGGCATCCCTGAGATAGTGACTGTGAGAATATTAACCAGAGAAATTTGCTAGATATTGCTTTGGTGTAGTGAAGAATTTGGGGGTGATGTCGTCAGGTCCTCCAGGGGGAAGTCAATTTCAAGTTGTCAAAGAGTTTCGCTATTCCAGCTCATGAGACGACAATAGATTCCCTAGACTCGTACAGTAGTGCTCGTAATATAGGACCCTCTCATATATTTCTTCTTTCCAGGACTCTCGCTTACTTACATTGTATGTTATGTTATTTAAGCATAATTGACACTCATAATATAAACCTTCTCTGGAACAACCATTTTCCACAAAAAAATATCTCCACCTCCACCTGCACTTCCACATCTTGGTTTGGCATTATGCTGGGATATTATTACGAATGTGCTATTAGTGGCACATAATTCTCAGTGGGATGTGCAGCAGCACTATCTTTCAGACTCCATCTCTTTCCTTGAGCTAAACCAATGCATGTGTGTGAGTACCCTGGCAATGAGCTCCACCAGGAACAATGTGGCCATTGGAAGAAAACTGTTAATTAGATGCTTCTTGTCTTCTCATTGATGGTTTCTGATCCATCACATATATTGGAAGAGCAAAACAGTGCTTCACTTTCTCCTCTCAGCACAGCAAAGTTCATGTCATACTGGGTCATCTTTTTACTCCCCCCCTGATGTGCACAACTGCGTGTGCGCATGGTACAGCTCTACACGGGCCGCCCACGGGCCGGGCACAGCCTGCGGGCCGGGTCAGGAAGCATGCAGTGATCTCAGGCCTGGGCCGGGTGCGTGCTTGAGACGTAAACACAGTGAGGGGGCAGGCAAGCTGGTGGTTGTTTACCATTATGTTAAAACCCCTGAGACTGGGTGTGAAAAAACCTTGGATCAAACAAAAGTAGAAGAGGCAGGGAAAGAAGTCAGCCAGACCGTTGGGTGACGGCCTTGGTTTCAAAGGTGTATATAAGAGGTTTACTGAATAAACTTATGAGCCGAGTTTGAGACGTCGTCTGGCTGACTTCTTTCCCTGCCTCTTCTACTTTTGGTTGTTTCTTGAGATGTGCTTTATCTGCCACTGTTGAGGCACTCCTGGACAGGCCGGGCTTGGGCCGGGCAGTATCAGGTAGGCATACCATTGGGCCAGGCCCAGTTTGGGGAACGACTGAGAGACAATGGGCTTGGGCCGGGTCGGGCTTCCCAAGGTAGGTCCGTACACTGTTTTAGTGCATAGTTGTGTCAATCCAGCCTGCTCAGAGAACTTCTGCTAATATTTTTCGAGGGGGGGTTATGTACATTAGTATGAAACTTGGCATATTTTTTTCCAGGAAGGTCATGCCCTGTAAGATTGCTAGCCAACCCCTTAACCGTTTTGGACGAGCCTTGCACGTCAACGTAAAGGTGTCCCCAAACCGCTCAGGACGAGCATAGCTCGTCTGCTTTCCCCGGCTCATGCAATGAACATTTTTGGACGAACCAGGCTCGCTCATTGATTCATTTGCAGCTCTGCCAACAAACGGAAGCACTGAATATTTTAAAATTTTGCTCATATTTTGTTTGTGGCTAAAAGTTTATTTGAAGGCAACAAATGTAATTTTTAATACAATTAAGCAGTTGGGGGTGAGAACTTCCCCAAAACTAAAAACGGTTAAGGGGTTAAAGCTCTTAGGAGCGAAAGGTACTGAGCGGTGACTGTTGAAACAGCAAAGTTTAAATGTTCATGCATGCATTGCTGTGGAGAAAGAAAAAACGAGAAAAATAAAACGGGAAAGAACAACGTTTGACCACATGCACCAAGCAGGAAGTAACTTCACTCTGTACAGCAGCTAAAATCTTGCTTTCTTTTTCTTTCTTCTTTTTTGTTATTTTTTAAGTTGTCATGGGAATCTTTACTTTTACAATGAGCTAACTTGTTACCAAACTAGCCACAATGCCTACACCTTTTAATTTCTTTTTGTTTGTATAGATGCTACAAAAGACATCAGCTCCCGGCCATATGAACAGCGGATGTGCTACGTAATCTTTAGCAGGCGACACGAAGTGTAATCCTATATGCCAAAAGGGCAGCAAGATCGGATGTCATCTTCGAAAGCACCGATCAGAACGCGAAAGTTATGGGCACTTCCATTCAAACGAACATTGAGAACATCTGCAAGCCGACCCATACCTGAGATGTCGTGGGCGAACGCTTTGAACATCGGCGCAAAGTGAATGCAGTGACCGCACCAGCTGCTGTAGAACTGGATGATCCACGCGTTTTCTTTGCCAAGTAACACATCATAGAAGTTGCTAGCATTAAGATTAACTAACGGAAGATTACCGTCGTAGAGACCGGCGCGAACGGGGGTGCTATGAAACAAAAGGACGCAGAAGGTGATCAAACCGGTTAGAACACGGGTCCGTAACCGCGAGCCGGCGAAAAGTCGTCCACTTTCATCCATGCCTGAGCGCCAGTCCACATATTCACGCGCAGAGATGCTTAAATACGTCAGGACCCGAAATCTGACATCACACAAGTGATAGAGACGCCGGAAGTCGGAAATCGCAGGCTATCCCAAGCTGCCTTGCGCGCTCGCGTTGCGTCGTCTGCTCGTTGGTCGTCTGCTAGCTTGTTAGCTTGCGCGCTGGCTGGCCATGGCGACGGCAATCACTTTGTGTTGTGTTTTTTTTTTTTTTTTTATCCTCCCAAGTCTCGGGGTCTTGGCAAAAATCACGGACTACTCGACTCGGACCGCGCCACGCCCGCGCTAGATACAAAAGGTGTAGAAACAATTTTACATAAATGATTATACTGTTTTTGTGAAAAATTTTCAATCATTGCACTCTGTCAGTGTGGGTTCAGAAAAGGTCGTTCTACTGAACTCGCTCTGTTAAAACAAAAATAATGAATTTTAAATAATATTGAAAATAAACTGATCACGCTCTGAGTGCTTATAGATTTTTCTAAAGCATCCTATCACCTCAATCACGAAACGTTAATTCAGAAGTTATACATGTTAGGTGTTCGCGGTGTCGCTCTAGTGATGATTAAAAGTTACCTTCAAACCCGCTATCAGTGCGTGGAGATCAATAAAAATCTATCAGATCTCAGAAAATAACCAGCAGGCGTGCCTCAAGGCAGTATTCGCAACTTTTAGCGACGGTGGTACCGCGGTGTGAGAATCGCTCTCCCTAGCTCCTGGATGATCGGCTTCGAAATAAAGGTGCTTCCCTACACCTTCCTGGCATAAAAAAATTAAGTAAGGCTGTAATACTGCTCGTATCTAGCAAAACTATAATTACTTACGCGTCGCAGACCCCGCCTCGTACTGCTGTACTGCTTGAATCGCGGCGCGGGAAAGCTCTCGTCAGTGCGGTCGTCAAACTTCCATCTGTAGATACTGCAGCTATAGCCCAGATATAACGAAGAGGCAGACGACTTTGAGAAAATATGTCTCACACAAAAGGCATTATTTATGTTTTTGCCTGCCTCGTGCGCTCTTCAGAAACTTACCTTGAAAGACCATTTTACTTATGGCGCCCATAAATGCGCCATTCAGTCGATATATTATTCAATTAAAAAATTAATTAATTATTTCATTCATTCGTTTTATTTGCTCATGAACAGCCGAAGACCCGGTAGTGATGCACATCAGGTGGGTTATAAATAATGAATGTCAAAAATATAAAACGGGCTAATTTGAATAACTTGACGCAAATCAAACGTCGGACAAGTTCACAAAGCTTGCCTCGGGACATAAATGTTGATAAACGATGTCAAATAAGAAAAAGCAAATATCACATACAAACATTTATTAAAAAAAAAAAAAAACTCGGTCATTGCGTTTAGAGATTAAATTAGAGTAATTACATCTGTCCAAGAGTCTTTGATATTCACAGCAGACTTGGACGTAGTTCAACTACTCTAACCAAACTACTATAGTTTAACTACTTTTCCGAGTAACTTGGTAACTTTCAATTACAACTTTGTTTGGGTAATTAGTACTTTAATTTAACTACGTTTTTCAGGTAACTTCTACTCAAATTACTACTTTCGAAATTTAATCCTATTTTTTTTTTTTCATCACAAAAGTTTGAGTGCAAAAATAAATAAGACGCTGGCAGACTAAGTGGTATTCACGAACAAGGGGCCCCCTCACATTCCGTTCCCACGCACTTACACTCGGCAGCCCTAAAAACTGCATCACAGGCGTCCTTGGGCCAAGGTGGCGACGAGCAGCCGAAACATAACACCGGCGCGCGCGAATGTAGGCAGAGGTAGTGCACGCAAGCGCCGCGCCTCCAGCTCCAACCGTGAAACAACAACAACCACTCCGAGGGTTGTTGTTGTTTTCATGTTGTGTGCCTTTAGTGAGTTCTGACTCAAGTGGTAGGATCCACGGTTTGCGCCACTGGAATGACCTCGCAGCTGGGCGCCTGTTCCCATGGTCGCCTCGTCGTCAGCGCATACTCCCTTGCAAAGCCGGACTCCCCCGCGCACAAACGCAGACACGGATAATCCGTTCATGGGAGCACGTTGCCGCTTCCAGCTGCAACTGTACGAGCGCCGATGCTTGTTCACGTAATCCTTCGCGTCCTTCCGACCTTCCACGCCAGGGAGACCTCCTCCTCTTTGTTGAAAACGTTTTACTTGTCAGGCGTGTCAGCAACAAGGATTTCGAGTCACCCTTGGGAGATTCTTTTGTTAAACCCAACAACAAAAAACAGTTTTTTTTTTTTTTTTAGTGGCGTAGCTATAACATTGCAACGAGACGGGCAGTCGTCCGTGTGATCTCATCGTCGTGGCGCGAGACTTGATCCCTTGACGGTCAGGTGCACTCGCTCGGCGCAATCTCCGAACGTCGTGAGAGTGAAGACGGGCCAGGTCATAACAATCTCAACTTGCTGAAGAAAGAAGAAAAAAAGGGGAGAGTTTGTTATAAAAGACCCTCTAGCCGAGGCAAGCCTCACATGTTTCGCTATGGACACCAAAGATGCCGACACTCGCTTACCCGACCCTGCACAGCCTGCTTCTGAAATTGAATGCTGTCTTTGCATCCAGCGCCACGGTGGAACGTCTTCTTAGCTTGACCGAGGACGTCATTAGAAGGAAAAGAGGAAAACTCTCCGATAACAACTTTGAAAGACAACTGCTTCGGCGGGCGAATAAACTATTTTGGAAGTCATAAAATGAATACATTTATTTCCGGCTCGCAGGGTTTTTTACTGATCAAAACTTCTGTTCATTTTGCTGCCACAAAAACATAAAAAGTAACTTCGAAAGTAACTTTAAAGTAATTCGCTACTTTTTTACAGTAGTTAGTAGTGTACTCAATTACTATTACAAATGCGTAATTTCTACTCTACTCCAACTACTTTTGGCGTTGATACTCAGTAACTTAACTTAACTACCTTTTTTGACTAATTTGCACATGTCTGATTCCGCACAGTATAATGTATAACCAACATAACGATCGTAAAAAATACAAAAGAAGTGCCTCTGAACATTTTCTATATTCCAGACGACAGATGTGTGTTTTTTCGTGTATGTTCATACAGCCTGAAGTTAGTCTGCCTCAACGGACGACTTGTCTCTCAGCTGCAGATGAGAACTTTAACCAGTGCAGTACAGCCGCTAGCCTGGAGTCTTTAAAGTGACACTAATAGGGTATTTATGGTGGGCAAGGTTTTTACTTGGACATAACATATGAGAGCCCAACTACCAAGAACACAATTTGCGGCTCGAAATTCGTTTTCTTTCCATCCGAAAACCGCCGATGGAGAACAGGCCGGCTTGAGTCATGCTCACTCTCTTCTCCGTGGTCACGTGCCGTTTACTATGGTTTAGATAAAACCACTAAAGATAATCAAAATGATGAGTTATCGCAGGCACACACTCAATACTAAAAATCGACAAAAAATATCATACCCATTTTTTTTTTTTGTGGCTTCTAAACAACTGCAAATACCTTGATTAAAATACATAAAGTTGCACAATTACGTGATTTCTTGCAACTTTCTCTTCTATATTTCTTCTTCCTCCCCAGTCCAGTTTCGGTTTTGGTTTCGAGCAGTTGCGTTTCTTCAATTTATTAAACATATACGTGACAGTGTTGCAAAATATTGATTGGATAGTCTCCTGGCCAATTAAAAGCAGTTGTGAGCTACGGGAACGCATTCATATTTTATAGTCAAGTATCGTGCGCAAATGCGTTTTGAATAGTGCGCACATACGTCAAGCCTGCAAACACGGTTTCTTTCACTCTGGTGCGCACGCGTGTTTGCCCCTGTGAATTGTTTATGGTTTTGTCCGGTGTGATCTAAGATGGTGACGCGAGTTGGATCACCGAACTTGAAATACTGAGGCATGAGATCCTGAAAAAGATTACCGAGCAACCCAGGATGGTAATCACAGTAATTGGCAGTTGCATGCTGAATTCTGAGGACTATCACTGACTCATTTCGAGAATTTCAAACTTTAATTATTACATGTCTGGAAAACGAAGAGCCCTAGATCTCATTACTAACGAAAGTATTCACGAATCTTACAGAGCTAATCAATATTCTTACAGCTTGGGCCAGTTCTAGCTAAGAGCAAGCGAGACGCCAACAAAAACTAATTTCACTTGGAAGTTTTTCAAAATGTTGGTCGGAAGAATTTCAATAAAAAAACAAGTCAGCAAGAGAAGCTAAAACAAGTTTTATATCAAGTTATATACGCTCTGAAGCAAACAGCAGTTTCATTTAAAATTTTCGTCACTGTTGTTAGGAACACGTGCAATAAATAACAAGTAAGCAAGAAACCCCGAAATAACTTTTAATTAGGTGTTACTCTCTTCTGTAGACTGCAGTTTCATTTTGAAGTTTTGAAACGGTTGTTAGGAGACGAGGAATTAGAAGCAATTGTGTGCAACGGGAGCGCATTTTATATTCGGGTATCGCGCGCAAATGCTTTTCGATTGTTGGACATATGCCAAGTGTGACCTTTTTTTTTTTTACTCTGGTGGCGCACGCATGTTTGCCCCTATGAATTGCTTATGGTTTTGTCTGGTCTGATCTAAGTTGGCGACGCGAATTGGATTACCGAACTTGAGAGACTGAGTCATTTGTTCCTGAGAAAGGCAACCGAGCAATCCAGGATTAGAAAAAAAAACCAGAAAACTGGAAAATGCAAAAAAAAAAAAAAAAGTTAAAATATTATGTACTTGGGATGAGTAGCAGTGATATATATTATTAAAATAAGCTGAAAGCATAGATTGAGGTGATAAAGCGATCACAGAACTTGAATCATCGTGGTTTGAAGGAGGAACATTGAGAAAGATTTTGGATAAGCTGAGTAACAGCTGAGAATTAGTTAAAAGATCAGCTGAGATTTTTAGAAAGGGAGAAAAAGTGAGCTATAGAACAAAGGTAACCCAGTTTAAAAAAGTATACCTTCGAATATGTCGCAAATACTACGATATGGATGCCCGCCATTTTAATCATTTTATACTACACGACCCATCACGGTTCTCACATCACTAGATGTGAGACTCACAGAAAACGTAGGATG